GCCTTCCATGTGGGTCAGCGGGGTCTGTATATAAGTAATCGTCGTCTACCCGGAGAACAAGAAGAGGGAGTGTGTACTTTGATGGACAATTTTAGAAGTACTCGCGAGCTACGGGATTTCGCCACACAGGTTCCAGAGACCCTTAACTACGGCAGATATAAGATCCATACGTCGGAGAAGGTCTCAGTTGGATTCACATGGCGATGCGGTGAAAGTTAGGGATATGCTGGAGATTCAGGGAGAGGTTAGGACAGGGCTGAGCGAAGGCGTCTTTCGTCGCATTTATTTTGTTCCTAAGATTATGCTGTACTGCGTCGCCAGGTTTAATGATGTTTTGTTAGCGAACGCCACACATCAGCTAAACTGTGGTGTGTATGTGCCTTGGCATGCTATGCTTTTAAACGACCGGTTTAGGTAAAAGTTTCTTCTACGCTATCTTGCCGAATGAGAGCGGTGAAAGCTATAGGTCTGCTGTGGGAGCCATGAAATCTATGTGCCCAGTCTTTGCATACTGCAAGACTATAGTTGTTGATCGTAGCTTGGGTCAGTACAACGCATTTTCAGAATACTTTCCGTCATCTATTGTGATATTTTGTCGTTTCCATTTAGTTAAGGAAATGATGAAGAAATGTAAGCAGCTATCTGGTATGCCCACATTCGAAAAGCAGCGCATCTTTCAATGAATGCGGAACATGGTGCACTTTGATAGTGAGATATCGTTTCGTAGATTCCTAGCGGCCGTAGAAAGTCGTAGCACAGAAGCAGGCGTTTATTTACGCCGAAATGGGTTACCATGCCGAGAGCAGTAGGCAGGGTATGCCGTGAGGACCAGGTTGACTTTAGGGAACCTAACTACCAACCGAGTGGGGACGGAAAATAGGCACTTCAAAACAGGCTTGTCTCCTCGGTCTTCATTAGTGGATGTATTAAAGAAAGTGCTACAACGAGTAAGGTCACTGGAAGTGATGCATGGAATTCGCCTAGCTAAAGATTCCGCGAGGGGGTATCCGACACCCAGCGGTATGCAGTCGTTTAAACCGTTGCTTATATGAGTAACACCATTTTATATATGAATATATTATTAAGTAACTGGAAGTCATGTAAGATTGAAGGAATTGTTCATGACAGAGGGTTCTCCATGGTCGTGGATAGTAAGGGCAAGGGTTATAAAGTA